GTCATGCTTGCATGACAATCATATTGATGGCTCCGATAGTGACGCTTGTTGTGCAGCCGCCCCTCCTCACTGGAAGAGTGAGATGTTTGTTAGCATGTCCAAGATTGGGCTTTATCATTAATGAAGGAGCATGGGCCTGTCCCGGCAAGGGTTGAGAGGGAAAGGCACCCGGTGGAGCCGGACTGAAAGAGAAAAAAAAAAAAAAAAAAAAAAAGAAAAAAAAAAAAAAAAAAAAAAACGCTCCCACCCAAGTAGCGTGTACTTATTCCAGAGCGGGCTTCCTCCATTGCATTAAGCAGAAAAAGCTAACACTGGCACCCTTAGAGCTCTGGTCCGTCGCTGGATCTGCTTATCATGCACAAGGTCAATTCCCGGATTGCCATTGGGCTTAACCTGGACCTGTCGCAAATTTTGAGCCTCGCTGGTCCTTGAGTAGGCCCTTGAACTGAATGAGTGCCAAAGCAGCGGCTTGAGTAAGCTTTGGGGTCCTTTGGTTAGAGATACCTACCCCTAATAACGCGTGGCAGTGTGACTGGGACTGAAATTTAGTACGAGATGCTGACGGCGGAGGGTGAATGGTGCCTAACCGCTTGAAGAAGGGGAGTCGCTGGATTTCTTTTCTACACCGTGGAGCGGCCCAGAAAGTAGTGAGCGCTGCTACGGACGGGTCGGCCATAGGTAAACTGTAGCTGCCTTCCGGCCGAGCATTTCGCCAGGAAAAGGTTCCTGGCTTGAGGCATAGAATGCTGCGCAATGTATGGGGCTACTTTTGGCCACTTTTGAATCTTTCCACTTCCAAGACGTGTAAGCTTTGATCGTGAGAAGGGCTCTGTCCGAGAATGGATAGCGTTTAATAATGGCTGTCACTGATATGAGGCATTCCCATTTGTTCTGCTCTCACCCTCAGAGAAGGCAGCTTCGTTGAATACGCCAGGCTGCCGGAAGATAAAATTTTTGATTTGAAAGAAAAAGGGTGGGCGAGTGAGCAGCTGGTGAAGCGCAATTAGAATGGGCAATGATGCCATCCAGGCTACCAGGGATCACATGCTATATGACCCAGGACGCGACCCGCCTTGCGAACGGTAGGGTGCTCTCATAGTGCATTGGGACAGCCATGTGATCCTGAAAACACTGTAACTATTTCGCAATTAGTTCAAACTATACTAATATTACCTCCGATATTTTCGCTGGTTATAAATCCATTTTGAACTATTGTTCAAAGACACAGGGAAATGCAAAGCCGGGGGACCAGCTGCACGTGCCCGGAATAGGCCGCCCTGCGTGATAAACAGAAACAGCGAAGGCGAATAACGAAAACTCGGTACCCGAACGCACCCGGTAATTGGGATTTTTGAAGGCAATTTTGGTACCTTACGGGCAAGCATAACGCTGCGCCAAAACGAATCCGGCCCACTGGGGCATGCACCATTTTGATGAATTGGGTAAAAGGCTGTGATTCCCAACGCGGAGCACCCCAAGAGTGCCTTAAGAGTCCATGGCATTTTGGCCGCATTTGAGCGTTTTGTGTGATCATTACTGGACTGGCGAACTAATCCATAGAAATCCACTTTTCCACGGTTCAGATGAGACTCCCTGAGGATCCTGGACAGTGAAATCTGGAAAAGAATATACTGCACGTGTATCCTGTCGTTGGCGAACAGAATCCAAATTTTAAGTGCTTCCCACATTTTGAACAGTGACGGCGTTGAAACACGCGTCCGCCTATTTTCCAAGTCATCAAAATCTATACTGCTGCCTTAGGCACAGTCTGCCTCTTCATTTTCTGATCTGGGGACCCATCTAACTAAAAAGTGGAAACCGTGAATGTCTTTCTAACTCCAAATGTTCTGTGCCAGCTGATGCAGGTGGCAACCCTAACTCCCTTATTGTAAATGGTCACCGAACTGTTGGCTGTCCGTGTTAATCAACACTACGATCAATACAATTCTTTGTAAAGTGTGCCAAAGCAAAAATGTATGGCAATAGTTCCCCTGGGTGTGCTGGACTCCCTAGGAGATATGTGGGCGGAAGTTCTCTAAATGTGCGCGCCAAATGTTGTACGCATTGCTATCACGCAGGAAAGCTCCTACTGGGTGGTCTGACGCATCGACTCTATTATATGAAATCGGTACTCTAATTAACTGACTGAGGTATTCAGAGATACTTGGGGACCTTGTCTAACCTATTTGTCCAGTAGCGTAGCTCGAGTGCTCTTGCGCTAGTTTAGGGCTCCATGCCTGGACAGGGCCAATCTTGAGCTTGCGCTGGCGCTATCACACGAGATACTGCGCTCGTATTGGGTTTATGCTATTATGTGTTCAAAACAGTGTGCAAAGAGACAGCGTTCCAGCCCAACGTAATCTTTCATGCAGTGATGGCTTGGAGAGATGATGGCATGTGGATGGCTTGGGATAACTTCGAGTCGGTGGCACTGCCGTGGCTAATCTCTCTGGTGTGCTGATTATTGACATAGAAGATAAATCAATATTAAAACTAACCGAAGTGCACGTTTGCGAAGGGTCCCATTTACACTTGTCTTCGGCGAAGAACCATCCTGCCCGCTCGAGGTCGACTGATATTAGACGTGTTTCTGCACGAGCTGTTCTCGATCTTCCAAATATAATACCATCATCAATGTATAATAGCGATTTCCCTGCCCTGGGCTGCTCCACATCTTGAGCAATTTTGTAAAATGTATGGTGCAGAGGCACAGTCAGAAAGGTAGGCACAAAATTTGTAATATTTATCCCTCCCAGTGGAATTCCAAAAAAGTCTGTGTGGTTTTCTGCAATCCGTACATGATGATATCCAGCTTTGAGATCAAAACTAGGCATAAAACCTCCCTCCGGCAAAAGCATTGAGAATGCTACTGATATCATCCAGCTTGATTTTTGGCATCATGTAAAACTTATTCAAGTGAGATAAGTCTAAATACCAATGTAAGCTTTTTCACCTTTTGCACTGATAGAGGGTGGAACGTGAAGAGAGTTGCAGGCACTGATGGAAACTTCTTGAATAGCTCCGGTGAGAGAAGCTCTTAAATTTCTTTATTTACAAAGTCTTTGTGCATGACAGCTGACTTTCTGTTGCCCGAATGCACTGGTTGTTGACGGGTCTGAATATAAGGGCGAGTACCGCGTTAAGCACTTGGTCGAGACCAGCTTCGAGGGCTCGAGAGCCAACCACTCTGAGAGAAACAATGAATCGAACCAGCTAAGAACTCACTATGTGGTTTTGCAGGCATTCTTGGCCCAGTGGCTTCTCTTCCGCAACGGTTACAGGTCGACTTTCATCTATTTTCCTCCTCTTTAGAAATTACGGAAAATCCCTTGTCGAGGCGTGGGAGGGATGTCACGCCCTGGCATAAGAATAGGGGCCTGCGATCCGGCATATGGCCTGCACCAAGTATGAAGTTGGCGGGCGACGGGCGATGGAAGCAGGGGCGCCATGCGTGCTTCCTCGCCACGAAAGGGCTGCCGGCTGATTGAAAGACTTTCCCATGCTGGCTCTCTTGGCTCTTTCTTCCTGATTAGACTCCAGCAAACTCACTAAGACGGGGGAAAGACTTGAGGGAATCCGACTTGTTTCTTGCTATCAGAAACTGGACAAGATTTGCGGTTGAGAATCCGCGATTATGAGTGTTTCATTTTCTCACAGCTAGGTCCTTGGATCACATCCTTGACGACATCACTACATCTTGGACAATCTGCAGCGAAGATAACTTTCTAATGGTGGATTATTAACTCATAACTGGCGTCCGGAATACTTCTCGCTTGGAAAGTGTGCGTCGTAGGTGTTGAGACGTTGTCGGTGATTCGATTTACACTGGCTTGAAGAATTATCGATCTGTATATCTCTAGGGTCCAGACGAATGACCGGTGCCAATAGTTCTTCTTCCGAATATTTGCTGTTTCTGGCGTTGATGAGGGTAGTGGCTGCTCATTTCCTTTTCTTGAATAGGAGAAATCTCTGCGCGGTATTGCTATATCTGAACTGAGTTAAGTATGTTGAGGGCGAATATCCGAATGCAGAACAGGCGAGGAGCGGGAAACACGCCGCTAGGTCAACGCAATAGCCTGAAATGACCATCCCAGGCTAC